TTTTTTTTTCTTCTATATTTTGTTATTTTAAACGTTTTTTGTTTCTTTAAATTTTTTTTCCAAGAATTACATTTTGTTTTAAATTTATGTTTATTTCACTTATTTTTTTTTTTTTGTTACTAATTTCAACTTTATTGTTTAAATAACTAATTTGTTTAAATGTAAAAATAATTGAAAGGAAATGAGTTTTAGTTTTTTTGTTTCTTTGTAAAGCTTTTTGTTTAATTACTGAAAATTTTAACTAATATATAGTTAAATTAGGCATATTTTATTTAAGTAATAAAGGTTAATGGACTTCAAATGAAATCATAAAATAAAGTAAATAAAATTTTTAAAATCAAAAGCTTTCTTAGGAAATTTTTAACTCATCAAAGTACTACTACAAAAAAGCTTTTATTTTCTATTTATTACGGAAACGAAAAGTCTGGCGTGAAGTTTTGAAAAAAATTACATTAAGAAAGCTTTTAGATTAAACGAATTAAACATTTGAAAAAAGCTTTAAATAAAGATTAAAAAAAGTTTTTACAAAAATCTTTAAATTAAAACTTTTACGGAAAATTTCTAATTAAGCTTTTATAAAAACTTTTACTTAAACTGTTACAAAAAGCTTTTAATTAAGCTTTTACAAAAAACTTTTAATTGAGCTTTTACAAAAACTTTTACAAAAAGCATTTAATTAAAATTTTATAACAACTTTTAAAAAAGCATTTAATTAAGCTTTTATAATAGCTTTTAAAAAAGCTTTTAATTAAGTTTTTTATAAAAAAAATTTAATTAAGCTTTTATAATAACTTTTAAAGAAGCTTTTAATAAAGCTTTTACAAAAAAACTTTTAATTTAGCTTTTACAAAAAACTTTTAATTAAGCTTTTATAAAAACTTTTTCAAAAAGCATTTAATTAAGCTTTTATAATAACTTTTAAAAAAGCTTTTACAAAAAACTTTTAATTAAGCTTTTATAAAAGCTTTTATTTAAACTTTTACAAAAAGATTTTAATTAAGCTTTAACAGAAAGCTTTTACAAAAAACTTTTAACTTTAACTTTTACAAAAAGCATTTAATTAAGCTTTAACTTTTAAAAAAGCTTTTACAAAAAACTTTTAATTAAGCTTTTATAAAAACTTTTACTTAAACTTTTACAAATGCTATTAAAAAGCTTTTAATTAAACTTTTACAAAAAGATTTTAATTACGCTTTAACAGAAAGCTTTTAATTAAGCTTTTACAAAAAGCTTTTAACTCAGCTTTTACAAAAAGTTTTTAATTAAGCTTTTACAAAAATCGTTTAATTAAGCTTTTACAAATGCTTTTACAAAGCTTTTCATTTAGCTTTAACAAAAAGCTTTTAATTAAGCCTTTACAAAAAGCTTTTTATTATGCTTTTACAATAAGCTTTTAATGTAGCTTTTAGACAAATTTTTTAATTAGTCTTTTACAAAAAGCTTTTAATTAAGCTTTTTGAAAAAGCGCTTATTTAAGCTTTTACAAAAAGCTTTTAATTAAGTTTTTGAAAAAAGCTTTAAAGTTTTTTTGAAACTATTGAAAAAAGGTTTTTTTTAGTTTAAATTAAAAATTTATAAAAAAAAACTTAAGAAACGTTTTGAATTAAACATCAAATGAAGCTTTTAAAAACAGAGCTTTCAGGAAATACTTTTAATAACAATTTGGGAAAAAGTTTTAATTAAACTTATTAAACAAATTGTTTTCTAAAGCTCATAGACAAATTGTTAGCTTTTAATAAATATAGTGCTTTTATTAAAAGAGCTTTTAGAAAGAGCTTAAAGATTTAAATAAAGCTTTTTTAATGTTTTTTTTTAGAATTAGCTTTTTGGAAGAATTTTAGAAAACCTATAAATTTCTGTAAACTTTAAGTAGGGCTTCCAGTAGTAGTTTTAGTTGGACCTTTTAGAATAAAACTTTTAATAGGACTTTAAAAACCTTTTATAGGGAAAACATTTTAAAAATATTTTGGAAAAATTATTTAAAAAATCTTTCTAGAAAGATCGTAGAAAAAGAAAGTTCTTCAAAAAGCTATTATGATAATATTAAAATAAAGCTTTTAGAAACATTTTTAAATAAGGTTTTTTTTAATAAAGTTTTCAATAAGATTTTGTGCAAAGGAAAATATAACAATAAAATTTTTAGAAAATATTTAAACCTTTTGTATTATTTTTTTCCAAAAGCTTTAAATAAAGCTTTTGTAGAAATAATAAAATAGTGTTTTTGTAAAATGCTTTAAATACAGACATTAGAAAAAGCTTTAAATAAAGCTTTAAAATAAGGTTTTTTGAAAAAGTTTAAATTCTAGAAACAACATTAAATAAGGCTCTTAGAAAAAAGCTCTCCATATAGCTTTTGGAAATATATTTAAAAAAAGCTTTTAGAAAAAGCTTTGAATAAAGCTTTCAGAAAAAGCTTTGAATAAAGCTTTCAGAAAAAGCATTTAATGAAGCTTTTAGAAAAAGCCTTAAATAAAGCATTTAGAAAAAGCTTTAAATAAAGCTTTTAGAAAAAGCTTTAAATAAAGCTTTTAGAAAAAGCTTTAAATAAAGCTTTTAGAAAAAGCTTTAAATAAAGCATTTAGAATAAACTTTGAGTAGTGCTCTTAGAAAAAGCTTTTGGTAAGTTATAAAGAAAACACTTTGAAGTTGTGTTTAAGAAAAGTTTTTTTTGTTGCTTGATGGACAAAGTATTCAGTCTAGTCTAGATAAAGCTCTTTTTGCTTTAACGATTTACAAAGATTAAAGTTAAGTTTAGATAAAGTTTTTGTTATAACTTTTAGCTAAAGCATTAAGCTAAGAGAAAAAGCTTTCCGATAATATTAAACTTAAGATTTCACAACTTATTATCTTTAAAATTTATTGATCTACAAAATTTTTATTAGGAAGTAGTTTTAGTTTTTTGTTACTTAAAACTTTAACCAGAAGTTTAATGTTCCATAAATTTAGACATTTAAAGTATTAGAGTCGTTTTAACACATCAAAGTAAAGTTTAGCGACTTTTTTGTTTGCCGAAATAAAATAAAAAACTGTTATTTATATTTTATAGTCTTCATTTCAAAGCTAAATTATTGTTTAATCGAAATTTTTATATTTAAATAATAAAAACAAAGAATGACAAACCATAAAAACCACAGATGAAAAAAATTATTAAATTGCAAAAAAATTAACAAATTTTAAAAGTCGGTAAAGACTTTTTGCCAAAAAAAACTGAGTAGAAACAATAAAATAATCGTAAAAATGTATAATAAATATAAAAATAGAAACCTATTAAATTAAGAAAACTTCTTTGTAATTAAAGCTTTTTTTGACTTATTTAGAATAAGTTTTTAAGATTTTTTATCTAAAGAATTTTTAATGCCCATGGTAGGGTATAATTATTATTTGTTTATCTTTATCTTGTCATTATTTTGAGGTAAATGTCATTTGTCTTATAAGAATTCTTTTAACAGATTTTTTTTACATGTAAATTTTTATTTACCATCGTTGATAAGGAAAAAACTACTCACAACGATTTCTCAAGTTCTTTCACGATCAGTAAATATTTGTTTGTTAAATATTTTATAAGACAGAAGAAAAAAAATTGCTTAATTTGTTTAAATGAGAGCAGGTGGTAAAGATTTAACAGAAATGTTCAACATAACCCAGTAAAACATTTGGTTTTAGTAAAAAAAATCGAAATAAAAAAGCTTTTATTAAAAGCTTTTACTGAAAGCTTTATTGAAACCTAAATTCAAATGATTTGCTAAAAGCTTTATTGAAAACCTTCACTAAAAGCTTAATTAAAAAGTTTTACTAAAACTTTATTAAGAGCTTCTTAAAAAGCTTTTACTAAAAGCTTTATTAAACACCTTTACTAAAAGCGTTTTTAAAAGCTTTATTAAAACTTTTACTGAAAGCTTTATTGAAAGCTTATTTCAAAAGATTTGCTAAAAGCTTTATTGAAAGCCTTCACTAAAAGTTTTATAAAAAGCTTTATTAAAAGCTTTTACTAAAAGCTTTAATAAAAACTTTTACTAAAAGCTTTATTAAAAGTTTTTACTACAAACTTCTTTAAAAGCTTTTACTAAAAGCTTTCTTAAACACCTTTACTAAAAGCGTTTTTAAAAGCTTTATAAAAACTTTTGCTGAAAGCTTTATTGAAACCTTAATTCAAAAGATTTGCTAAAAGCTTTTACTAAAAGTTTTATAAAAAGCTCTTGCCAGAAGCTTTATTACAAGCTTTTAATAAAGTTTTTAGTAAAAGCTTTTAATAAAGCTTTTAGCAAGAGCTTTTTATAAAACTTTTAGTAAAAGCTTTTAATAAAGCTTTTAGCAAGAGCTTTTTATAAAACTTTTAATAAAAGCTTTTAGCAAAACTTTTTAAAACTTTCACTTAAAGCTTTATTAAAACTTTCACTAAAAGCTTTATTGAAACCTATTACTAAAAGCTTTATTAAAAGCATCTATATCTACCTTAAGTTTTACTTAAAGCTTTTTCTAAAGTTATTAGTTTTACTTAAAGCTTTATTTAAAGTTGTTATTAAAAACTGAATCCAAAGCTTTTACTAAAAGCTCTTACAAAATGTTTTTTATGGCTGTAGCTAGAAGCTTTATTGAATGCTTTAACTAAAAGTTCTAACTTAAAGCTTTTTCCAAAAACTTCACTTTCCAGCAGCTTTCTCTAAAAGCTTCACTTAAATGTTCTCCCAAAAACTTTATTTAATGCTTGATTTAAAACTTTTACTGAAAGCTTCATTAAAGCTCTTTCCAAAACGTTTACTTAAAGCTTTTTCTAAAGTTCTATTTCTAAACTTTTATTCTTGAATTATCTTCGCCAATAAAAAACTTTGCTGGGTTTCAACTTAATTAATCAACTTGGATTTTTGGATTTGCAACAAGTGCAGCTGCTCGCTGATGGTCCGACATGTCTTCTTCTTTCACAATCTTTAATTTTCATTATTTCAAAATTTAGAACAAGCACAAAGAAAAGGAATTAACTATACTCTACTCAAAAAACTAACCATTCAACCAAGCAGAAGAAATCCTTAAAATTTAATTAAAAGGCGGCAAATCCAATTAAATGTCTGGCCCAACAAATCTTTCTCCTTTAGCTTAAAGCACATGGGCTTTCGATTTTTTTCTTTCTTTCCAACTTGACCCAATTAAAAAAGGCCAAGATCAGATAGAGAAAGGAGCAAACAAAAAATTATTGAACTTGATTTTAAATGTCAGATTATGGCGCCTCCTGTTGTCTTTTCTTATGTTTAAAAACCCCAAAAAAGGGAATGACTGTTTACTGTGTTAGTTTTTTTTTTATTTGGTCGGCTTTAAGACACAAAAAAATATATTTGAAATCGATAAGTTTGGTTTTTTGTTGTATTTTTATTTCTGATTTCATTGTGTTTTAAATTTAGATTTCCTAAGAAATAGAGTGAGGTTCCTTTACTTTTATGAGTTTTTTTGCGTTTTGTATTAGATAATTTTAAATAAATGTCAAATTTTATTAATTTATGGTTTAACTGTGAAATATTTTTTTGGTTGACAAAAAAACTTTCGATTAAAACAATTAGGAATTTTATAAAATATTTGATTTTTAAAGAGTTTTCAGAAAAACACTTAAAGGCAAATAGTAAATGGCGTTTTAAAAATTGTGGATTTGATGAACGATGTATGGAACCAGCATTGAACTAGGGCTGAACTGAACTAGAACTGAACTAAAACTGAACTAGAACTGAACTAGAACTGAACTAGAACTGAACTAGAACTGAACTAGAACTGAACTAGAACTGAACTAGAACTGAACTAGAACTGAACTAGAACTGAACTAGAACTGAACTAGAACTGAACTAGAACTGAACTAGAACTGAACTAGAACTGAACTAGAACTGAACTAGAACTGAACTAGAACTGAACTAGAACTGAACTAGAACTGAACTAGAACTGAACTAAAACTGAACTAGAACTGAACTAGAACTGAACTAGAACTGAACTAGAACAGAACTAGAACAGAACTAGAACAGAACTGAACTAGAACTGAACTAGAACTGAACTAGAACTGAACTAGAACTGAAGTAGAACTGAACTAGAACTGAACTAAAACTGAACTAGAACTGAACTAAAACTGAACTAAAACTGAACTAGAACTGAACTAGAACTGAACTAGAACTGAACTAGAACTGAACTAGAACTGAACTAGAACTGAACTAGAACTGAACTAGAACTGAACTAGAACTGAACTAGAACTGAACTAGAACTGAACTAGAACTGAACTAGAACTGAACTAGAACTCAACTAGAACTGAACTAGAACTGAACTAGAACTGAACTAGAACTGAACTAGAACTGAAATAGAACTGAGCTAGAACTAACCTAGAACTGAAATAGAACTGAACTAGAACTGAACTAGAACTGAACTAGAACTGAAATAGAACTGAACTAGAACTGAACTAGAACTGAACTAGAACTGAACTAGAACTGAACTAGAACTGAACTAGAACTGAACTAGAACTGAACTAGAACTGAACTAGAACTGAACTAGAACTGAACTAGAACTGAACTAGAACTGAACTAGAACTGAACTAGAACTGAACTAGAACTGAACTAGAACTGAACTAGAACTGAACTAACTAGAACTGAACTAGAACTGAACTAGAACTGAACTAGAACTGAACTAGAACTGAACTAGAACTGAACTGAACTAGAACTGAACTAGAACTGAACTAGAACTGAACTAGAACTGAACTAGAACTGAACTAGAACTGAACTAGAACTGAACTAGAGCTGAACTAGAACTGAACTAGAACTGAACTAGAACTGAACTAGAACTGAACTAGAACTGAACTAGAACTGAACTAGAACTGAACTAGAACTGAACTAGAACTGAACTAGAACTGAACTAGAACTGAACTGAACTAGAACTGAACTAGAACTGAACTAGAACTGAACTAGAACTGAACTAGAACTGAACTAGAACTGAACTAGAACTGAACTAGAACTGAACTAGAACTGAACTAGAACTGAACTAGAATTGAACTAGAACTAAACTAGAACGGAACTAGAACTGAACTAGAACTGAACTAGAACTGAACTAGAACTGAACTAGAACTGAACTAGAACAGAACTAGAACTGAACTAGAACTGAACTAGAACTGAACTAGAACTGAACTGGAACTGAACTAGAACTGAACTAGAACTGAACTAGAACTGAACTAGAACTGAACTAGAACTAGAACTGAACTAGAACTGAACTAGAACTGAACTAGAACTGAACTAGAACTGAACTAGAACTAGAACTGAACTAGAACTGAACTAGAACTGAACTAGAACTGAACTAGAACTGAACTAGAACTGAACTAGAATTGAACTAGAACTAACTAGAACGGAACTAGAACTGAATTAGAACTGAACTAGAACTGATCTAGAACTGAACTAGAACTGATGTAGAATTAGACTAGAACTAAACTACAACATAACTGGAAACAAACTAGAACTGATTTGAAATTATTTCGGAAATTTTTTTCAATTTTCTTATAATTCGATAATTTTGTTTCAAAACTTTTTCTTAACAATTTCAAATATTTCTTAATTTTTTTTTTGAACTAGAACTGAACTAGAACTGAAATAGAACTGAATGAACTAGAACTGAACTAGAACTGAACTAGAACTGAACTAGAACTGAACTAGAACTGAACTAGAACTGAACTAGAACTGAACTAGAACTGAACTAGAACTGAACTAGAACTGAACTAGAACTGAACTAGAACTGAACTAGAACTGAACTAGAACTGAACTAGAACTGAACTAGAACTGAACTAGAACTGAACTAGAACAGAACGAGAACTGAACTAGAACTGAACTAGAACTGAACTAGAACTGAACTAGAACTGAACTAGAACTGAACTAGAACTGAACTAGAACTGAACTAGAACTAGAACTGAACTAGAACTGAACTAGAACTGAACTAGAACTGAACTAGAACTGAACTAGAACTGAACTAGAACTGAACTAGAACTGAACTAGAACTGAACTAGAACTGAACTAGAACTGAACTAGAACTGAACTAGAACTGAACTAGAATTGAACTAGAACTAAACTAGAACGGAACTAGAACTGAATTAGAACTGAACTAGAACTGATCTAGAACTGAACTAGAATTGTACTAGAACTGATGTAGAATTAGACTAGAACTAAACTACAACATAACTGGAAACAAACTAGAACTGATTTGAAATTATTTCGGAAATTTTTTTCAATTTTCTTATAATTCGATAATTTTGTTTCAAAACTTTTTCTTAACAATTTCAAATATTTCTTAATTTTTTTTTTTTTTTTGTAATAATTAGCAATTTACCAATTAAACATTTTCTTTTGTAGTTAAAATCATATCCTTAATCTTACAACTTGATCACATTTCTTAAAAAATATTTTAATTTTATGGAGAATTATTTTTTATAAAGAATTATTTATTTCTTGTTTTAGGAAAATTTTTAGAATTTTTTTCTTTCAACACTTTTTGAAGATTTTTTCTTTATTTAATTTTTTTAATTTTTCATGGATTTTTCTATATAATTTTCTTTCTTATTTGATGAATATAATTTTATAATTTTCAATTTCTTTTTTTTTTTTTTCAATAAAATTTTAACACTGTATTTTAAAACACGGATGAAGGCTTTACTTGCAACAGGGTGTTGAATGCCTTATTAATTTTTTTTTTTTTTTTTATTTTTCTATTTTTATTATTTTACTTTTTCTATATTATAATATGCACTTTTCATTCTCATATTCATTATTTTTGTTATTGAATAAAAAACGAGAAAAAGAAACCAATGACTTGGTTGTCGATCATGATCATGTCGTTAGGAATTCAGAAAGCAGGAAAAGCCACCATACACAGTTCGTAGAAGAAATCCAAGAAATCGTATATTTAAAGGCAATGAACGAACGTATGCCAAACACAATATAGACTTTTATTATAGTATTTAAGTTAGTATGGTGTCGCCAGTTAAACAAAAAAAAAAAAAAAAAAAAGCCGGAGGAATTGTATTTTATTGTAAAAACAAATAAATGAAAACGTTCCAGCAACACGTCCCGTCCTTACGCATGCGCTTTAATGAAATTTTATTTTTAAAATCGGTTTTGGCCACAAAATCAAAAGTCGTTAATACGAAGTTAACGCTTGAATTAAGAAACGTTTTTGTAATTCTTCACTAAGCTTATAGAGTTAAACATCCATCATAAATTTTTTATAACTTTTTTATGCAATTTGTTTTTAATTAATTGCTTATTAAGCATAAAATTTTTAAAAATTTATGTTTAAAATTTCATTCTAAGAATTTTTTTTTTTATATTTTTTAATATATTTTTGTTTTTAACTTCGTTATTCGTTTTCAAAAAAAAATTTATTTAAATAAAATTTTTGCCGCCGTATTTTAATTTCCTGTGCGGAGGAATCGCTATCAAACCGTTCGCTCACGTTGTCGCGTTGCAACTGTTTGTGAAATGGCCAACAAATGTGGGAATAACTGTTTGTTGCTCTCCAAAAGCTTTAATGCCCACAACAACAACAACAACAAGTTTTATATTAGGTTTGAAGTCAGAAATAGTTGGCTTATTTTTGTTATGATTTTTGTTGTTTGTTTTTGCAGAGAACTTGTTCTTGTTAAAATAAAAACAACAACAACAATTCATTGGGGAGCTACTCCACATTATTATGTTGCTATTATTGTTTGTTGCTAAGTTGCAATGGATCTCATTTTTGAATAGCACATGTTGTGTTTATAGTCGGCTTGTGTTATCAATAAGTTGGGTTGTTCGGTTTGATACAACATGCAGACAACTAAAAATGTGGACAGCAATTCCAAAGAACAAAGCAACATGTTGCTAAGATACAACAAAAATTTATTGGAAAAGCCAAAGAAATAAATACTAATACTAACTAACTAACTAACTAACTAACTAACTAACTAAACTAACTAACTAACTAACTACTAACAACTAACTAACTAACTAACTAACTAACTATAACTAACTAACTAACTAACTAACTAACT